CTCCTAAAAGATATTCCACCGATCTGACATTAATAGTCATTGCAGTTTCGGAGATCCGTGAAGACCCCTTCGGAGGAACCCTGCTTTTAATACCAAAAAGGATAGCGGAATGGGCAAAACAGATGAATCGCCACGGATAAGCATCGGAGCAACACGGGAGAGGAGTATAAAATATCAACATTCGTTCTGGTGGCGCGCGAAAGACACCGACCAAATTTATCGGGGCGATGCGCAGAACTTATTGGGATGCAGTAATTACAGATGGAACTGCAGACGAAATGAAGTGGAGAAAAATGTCACCCGACCAGTCGGACGTGATATACGGAAGTGAACGGAGCATGCTCGATAAATTGTCAAAAGCAATTACTCATCCGGCATTTTAATAAAGGAACACGGCCATATTCGTCGTATTATGCTACACGCATCACAACTTATTAACTCCTTAATGACCCGAGTGTTTCTTTTCTTATCTTTTCGAGCGGATATTGTTTCCTATCTACAGATTATCGTCTTTACCTTTTTTTTTTTTTTCTTGTCTCGAAACAATTACCTAATCGAGTTCCGGAGGAAAAGGGCTCCTCCGGGGTCCGTCCGTTCGTTCGTGTCCGAAACAATAGAGACGAAAATGCCAGAGGAAAATTGTGATTTTTTGCCATACACGTGGACGATGTACGCGTTGGAAGAGAGTGGAACTAACTACTTTACCTGTTCGACAGGATATTACTTTCCTCGAAATGTTTACTACACATCTCTACAATTATTAATGTACTGGAAGAACCGAGATAGAAAATCCGATATTTCGAATTTTCTATAAGAAATCTTCGTTAAATCTTCAATAAATGCAAATTACAGAATGAAAATCTTAAAGAAAATTAGTAATAAAATTTAATTTAATTCAATAATTTATAATAATAATTATAAATAAATAAAAACTTTTTGTTTCGTGATACATTACGTTAAACATTTAACTAGTGAAGTGCAATCGCATCATCACCTTCATAATGTGATAGTGTAGTGATGAAAGGTAAATTGTAAATTATAATAGTTGCGGATCGTAAAAATCTGCTTCGCTCGTGCTACGAGATTTAAAAATTATTATTATTATTTTTTAAAAATTAAATCTGAACTAATCTGTTAAATAAATAAAATACCAGGAGGTGTTTTTTGATGGTCGTGTTTACTTGATAGATGCAGTTGTTTAGCAACCTTAATAGTGTTGAGTTTGATAATATAATTTGTTACACACTTCTTTCGGTTTTTTTTTTCTTTTTAATTTTCCTAATAACTTAAACAATTTTTACTCTTAAAAATATTGATTGCGCTATTTCAATTCTACTTTATAAGTTTGAAACAGTGTCTGTAACACGACGATAATTATCCTGTAACATTTGTTTCGCTGCCATTCTCCGCAGTTTATCATTTATTCGGCAATTTACAACCATTCATTGTTGAAATTGATTTTAACTTTTCGGTATATTTCCAACAATTAAAATCGATTTTATTCGATTTCAAACGGATAAATTACAATTTGATTTTAATCGATTACAATTTGAAATCGATTAAAATCGATTTCAAATTGTAATCGATTTTAAACTGTACGAGAAAAGAAACAATCGAAATCGTTGTTAATTGATTTTTTTAATGTTTCGCTCTCGAAAAATCGATTTCAATTGTTTTGAGAGTAATAAAATTTATCAAGGAATGCAACAGTTCAAATCGATTTTAACAATGGAATGCGATAAACTATCGAATTATAGCAGCATTGTCGCGTTTACAGAGATCATTCAGCTTGCTCTAGTAACTTAATATGTAAATTACGAGACCCAGAAACATTTTTACAATAACTTCAATTATTATGAAACACCAGATAATAAAATGCTTTCGCGTAATTATTTTTTTTTTGTACTAAACACCGTAATTACCGAAACATTTCTGCTTTATTGTTTATATTTATAGAGATTTCAACATATTAAACATTCCTCGTAAAAAAAATTTTTGTTTTTTTCTTCTGAAATTTAATAAGTTGCTCCATCGTAATGGTGAAATGTACTTTATATCAAAATTACACAAAGTGGACTCGTTTAAGATTAGTACTTGCTATCAACTTACAAAAAATAGATTTGTTTTGACCTAACAAGTATCGAAGTTATAAGTTCTTTTATTATTATTATTTTTTTTATTGTTCTGAAGTTGGAACAAAGTATCAAGATTTTAAAAAGTGGATTGCCGAGCGAGTAAATTTAGGAAATTATTTCCGAATTTTTACAGAATTTCATTAATGTATACTCGGAAAATCGATAAAACTTGCAAACTTTGTTTAAATTCAGCAAATTTTACGCCAAATGATCGTAAAATTTATTACTATTTTCATAGTTTCTAATGTTAAAATAATAAATTAGATGTTTATTTTATTTTTTAAATATAAAAATAGCCTTTTCAAAGGCAAAACAAGATTTGCTCCGGGTGTTTATATTATAGAGATAACAAGGAACTGATATGAAACTGTAAAAATCGGTACGAAATTTTGTAGATTAAAAAGGTGGAGAGATACTTCAGTATTCTGCCAAACTTTTTCATTAAGTCAAACGAGTATGACGGAATGAATTTTTCAGAGTTTGTTTCGTCACCGGATATCGAATTTATCCCAAGATCTAAAACAGTGACGAATGCACGCATGTTTTCGGTTAGAAAGGAAAATGATCATAACGCTTTACCATCTTTAATCTATTTTGATCGGACCCGACGTGGGGGAGGAGGCTAAACGGAAGCAAGCTACCAAGCTCCTCCCCTTCCTCCTAATCAAATTTTATCATCCCACTCCTTCTGTGACGTCATCTCGACTCCAACGGAAGTAGAAAAGCGAAGCTGCGAAAACGGTCTATTTCCGGTACGCCGCTCGGAGAGAAAATGGAGAAAGTCGAATCTTTTAAAAAGGTGAACTTCACCTTCCCTGGAAGAGACATTTTTTTTTCCTAAAAGGAATTTACCCATCTGGAGATTTATTTAAAAAAGGCTAAATCTTTACAAGACTTGGATGCGAACGGTTGTAGAGAAATCGCTGGTCGATTCGTCGGTCGTTCAACTCCGCACGTGACGGATGACGTCGACTAGATTGGTATCTTAAACTTGGCTTTACCTGTAAGAAGTCGGCACGACACAAAGGATAGACGAACAATAGGCAGTTCTCCATTCATGCGTGCTTAAGTCTACTAAAATGGAAACGGCGCGTTTTACACCCTCATCGACTCCGTTTGGCTCTTTTCAAATCAAAGTATCCAACGAACGGAGGGGTAATATATATATATATATATCATCGAACGAAGTATAATTCTCCCGAAATGCAACTCGAAGCCTTTCGCATCCCCCAAAACGAAAGGGAATGCGTAATATACACAAACCCAAAGCCACGTGATATCGGAGGACCTCGCGCGAGAATCGGTTTCGGTAGACGTATAGCCTCGCATACCATCGAAAGAGGGAGCCAAACACTGCACGTGCGCAAGAATCTTACACAATCAAATGGGTGCTACACCATTTGTATTTGAAGAAATGCATTAAAATTCTTCGGAGACCGAAAATTAACATTTTCGGGTGAAGCACCTGCCCTTTGCATTATTCATATTCACACCATTAAATGTCTTTCGAACAGAATAGGAGAAAGAGGAAAAAAATCTATTCAAAATATATATATATATTCACCTATTAAAATGTAGAATTACATCACATATTTTTAATATATATTTATATAATTTTTACATATCGAGCGAGACAATAATTGATCGACTTCGCGTTGTACAACGTATCAATTACGCCAACAAGAGATTTTGTAATGAGAATTTTGATGGGGAGAAAAAAAAATAGAAGATTGAATAAAGTTCCGCGCCTCATCGACTTTGGAAAATGCCATCCTTCTGGTGGCAAATTTCTTTTTTTTTTATGTTGTTTATTGGATTACGGACAATTCATAAATCATAAAAATTGCACCCTTTCGTGATGTATCGCAGCATTCACCAAACCGCATACCTTAGCTGGGTTCGTGACGTCCGACTGTCGCCCTCTTATTTTTATTTTTCCATCTTTCCCCGGTACAATGCACCGAAAAAACTCAACAAATGCTATTTATCTGACCCTTCACAATAACAACTTTTACAAAATAGCTAGAGGCCGAACCAGAAAAGAACCTGTTGCACAATGTACACCTTTTTATAAATCCCGGGAGCGACTGGTTGCTCTCGCTTTTTAATTTTATCTTTTCCTATAAATATCTAACCCATTATGCTAAAAATGTAATAGGAAGTATGAAATTTTTTGGCCCTTTTGCCCGCTTCCATCTGTACGAAAATTTAAGCCACCGAACGCGATAGGTGCCATTCGAGGGAGTAAGTTACGGGTTTCGCGTTCTAACACCGTTCTAGATTAAGAAGCCTGTCTAACACTTTTTCGATGACCCGGAAGGTAACGGTAATACCCTTACCTGCACATGGTAGCACGAAGGTCATGACCTACGACGGGATCTCGCGACACTGGCCATAAGTATCCTAGAGAAGATCGAAGGTGGCGGGAACACTTCTTACCGGAAAGTGGCCAAGTAGGTATCCCAGAATGCATAGTGGCATGCCTGAGATTGTTCGACTGGCTACGAGGAAGGCAGATGACTAGTTACTCGTCCAACCGGTCTTGTTTCGTGTCCTCGCGGGGTTCGCCCTCCCCAGCGTCCTTGTTGGATTTGACCCTATTCCTGACCTCCCAAATGTTTCGACACCTTTTTTTTTCCTTGCCTGATGCCACTTTAGCGTAACTCAGCTTCGATTCCGGCGCCACTCGGGCACGATTCGGAGTGTCGTCCGCGCTAACCCGGAAGAGGTCATACAACGTTAGTGTAAAAGAGTAATGTCATTGTCGAGTGCCACGGCAATTTAGTTAGTTTTTTTTTTTTTTTACTTTTTTGGATGAGCGGTTCGACCGCGCCAGCGAACAAAGGTAGAATGCAAGTAACTAACCTGCTCCTGGGCAGATACATGGATCCATCGATGAAAACCGAACCCGACAGTAGAATATACCAACAGGTGCTGAGTTCTCCTCGGCTGCAAAGAAAATTAAATACAAATCAGTTTAAATTATTCCTCAGAGATTTGCGTTAAGAACGGCATTCATAAATCATACCGACAATAAATCAATCCCCCTTTCAAAACCTCAAATATAAGAACCACTCGGCAAAGTAAAAGCATTAGAAAAAGGGGAGGGAAAAAGTACATTAGAAGGTCAAAAGTCGAGCTCGACCAGGTGTTACTCTAGAAAAGAAAAGCGAAAGTTTTCTAAAGCTCGCTCTTCTCCTAAACTCGGAATCTTAATTATTTTCAAAATTAATTTTTATGGTATCGAAACTTGTCACGTTTGAATTTATCATTACTCGTAGCTCCAACGATAATCTCTCATTGGAAACACACTGCAACCACTCGCACTTCACACGAAAAGAGGATCGGGAGGAAAAAAAAAAAATGTGTTTTCCAGTTGACGCTTCGACCGCTAAAACCTTTCAGTCAATTAACGTTGCTTGACGGAAAGCAGTCGTGCGGATAATGCAAAATTCATTTAATTTAGCATTTGAATATTTTCCACGTGCAATATTTGTTCACCGAAGGTGTCGCACCTGGGTTTAGTTACGTAAAAAGAAAATACCAGTAATTATGACGTGTTATTACGTAAAAAAAAACCTACACTAAATATTGCACGCAGAACAGAACTACAGCGCAAACGTTATGGTTATGGTAACCTATTTTGTTATATAGAATGCGTCACGCACCCGTACGTTTCTCCTATTTGGTGAAACATAAGTGAGCGTGACGCTCAAGTTTATACTCAATTACGATCCTAACAGTACGATATCCGACTGTAGTTTCGGTTAATCTCGTTTGGTTATCCTTACAAATATTATATAGGCCTACAAATTATATTATTTTATATTCATTATTATATTCTTTTCGGAAGTATCCGGGATTTACCCCGCGATCCTCCATACATACAATACAGTAATTGCAAATTATGTAGCATTTTTATATAGCAACGATTGGCATTGCGTGTTTTAACCCTATTTTGTGATACATATTTACATTTTGAGGTGTTGAAAACTGGGGTTTAGTAGCATTAAAAACTAAATTTTCAGCCTATCCATCCTTCGCTTCGACTAAGAAATTACGTAGCGGTATCCTACGTGTCTCAAATTATCATTACGAAAAGAAAGAACTACTTTGTTCTCGCGTGTTTCAATACGTTTTTGCATACGGCCATTATAACACGTCCACTCTACTTTTTGCAATTGTTTTAGATGTTGTTGCACCACCCCATTTCATAAGTTCAACAACATAAACTGAATCGATTCATTACGACTTCCTTTCTTACGAGAAGATTCGCGACTTGCGCAACAAAAGAAAACAAAAGAGAAACACTAGAAGTTTCTAAAGTACATTCCACTGGGATTCGTCACCGCAATTAGCCCCCAAGATTAAGATAATTCTTAATTTCTACGTGACGTCTCGCCTTAGTCTATTCAAAATCCACTTTTGGCACTAGACTACGAGACAAGCCAGCCAGAGATGATAATACAGATAATCATGTTTTGCTTCATTCAAGGTCGTTACGAACCCGAATCCGTGTCTCTCCCCGCACGAAGGGGAAAAGAAAACTGTATAAATATAGTAATCCTCAATCATTACACGAGTAAAAATTTCATTTCCATCAACCCCATAAAAATGCCCATAAAACAGAATATCCACTTCGTAACTGCGATAACGTTCGAGTCACAGAATTAAATTTTGATAGGGGCTCGCTCGATAAGGTATAATTCTAGTTACGCCCCGCGCGAATAGACAAAATAACCGGAGCATAAAGCCCCCATTCCATAAACACAACGAGGAGGAGGAGAAAAAGAAGTGAGGGGGAAGTGGAGATGGGGGTTATCTTACAAGAGTAACACTTCTCTTCAATCATTCTACTCGTCCTTCCCCCGGTATCGATGAATAAACGCTTTCGACCAATAAAAAGTGTCGTACTGTAAGACCGCACGCTTCTAAGAATGTTTCCAATTAGACCAGAGTAGCACTTAAGCTTATCAACTCTACTCTAGCGCCCGTCAGTCCGTCCGTCTGTCCATTTTAAATCGTTTAATAAAGCAGAAAAACGTCTGTAAACTGTTATAACTGAATTATGTCCTTTAATTAATTTACTCTCGACTGGATAAATCGCGACGTCAGAAAAAAATAAAGGTGGCTGTAAACTTTAGAAAGTATTTTTTTTTTTTTTAATACATCCCTTTGCTAACCTGGAAAACGCCCGGGGAAGACTTTAGAGAATTTAATCTGGTGTCGGTCATTTTTCAACTGTCTGTTATCCACTCCGTTCTTCCACCACAGTTATTCATTCCTAGAATTTTTACATTTTGTACAAGAAAAGGGAAAAAATAAAACGGAGGAAAGCATCCGGAAAAAAATTTTTCACTGCATACTTTAAGTTAAAGAGAATAAAAAGACTGCGTAACAATAAAGACGTCAGAACGACAGGGAATTTATAGTCTTAAGACCTAAAGCTTAAGACAATACGAGAGGGATAAAAATTACTGCATACTCGCGGTTAAACATTCATTTATCTTCCACCTCCTTCCTACCTGCCTCTAAAACTCTGCCACGACGGTCGAATGACGTTGCAAATCGAATTTCGAATTCAGCCAATTATCTTCTCTCGTTTTGAAAAACGAAATCTGACATTTTTAATCGTGTGACGTAATAATGATTTTTGACCAACCGTCTTTCTTTTCTCGCAATTAAATATGCTAATTTCGTTGTGTGTGAAGACAGGCGATTGGACGAATTCGAAATTGTCTCGATTGTTACGTAAAAGATAGATCAAGTGACGTGTGTTAACAATTCGGGACAATTCGCCAATCGTCTTCGTTGTCTCGAACGACATTGACATTTTTCATTGCGTGTCGTAACAATGGTTTTGTGATTTCGAATTCGGCCAATGTCCTCTCGTAACGAAATCGACGTTTTAATTATAACTCGATGCAACAATCGTCCGGCGGCCTGACGTCACGACGATTATTGTGACGTTTGTATTGAGTATTCATGCCTCATTTATATAAAAGCCGGTCGCAATTTTTCAAACTCTCTGGCGTTTAAATAAAGGAAATTTTCACTTTTCTTCGCTCCGATGAATTGGTGCGGAAGAGATAAAAATATATAAAAAAAAAGGTTCCCGTTATTTTCCTTTATCGGATTTTTGGTCAGGGGGAGAGGGAGAGAGTTGATAGTTGAAAAATACGTTAAAGTTGGAGAAACGGGGGAAAGCACGGGGAACTAGATGAAATCTCTCGACCGCAAACACACTTTTCGGATGAAATTTTCTCTTGTTGTGCTTCCCTCCTTTAGATGCTTGGCGTTTTTCTTTTTTTTTTCCTCCTCCCCCTCCTTTCCCAGAAGTGTCTACCGTAAATAATATTTTTTTTTCTTTCTTTCTTTCTTTACTGCTTCGAAGGGGATAAAGGTTTGAAAAGCTCATCTTCTCCCCGAGATTGATATCACCTATAAATCATAACAGATGGCGCTCGAGGGTGTAGGAATTAATGACGTCATAGATTATCATAAAACTTTGCTCGATGACGTCATATCTACGTGTACACACTTAAAATTTCCGAGCACAATGTCGAGTTCTTTAAAGTAATTTTGGAATCGATTTTCATTCTCCATCGCCCCCCAACATCGCCATTCTAGCGTTATTTCTCAAGGAAATCAATATTGAAATGTATATACACACACATCGTTTTCCTCGTAAAATTCGCCATTCGTAAAAGGACCTAAAAATTTGTCACGTTTATTTATTTATTTAAAAAAAAAAAAGCAAAAAAAAAATCCTCGAGTTTGTTTTATACATTGACGACAGATGGCAGCACAAATTACGATCACGTGTTTCTTATTAAAATGTGACGTAACAGAAATAAATACCGTCGCAATAATTACAATAAAAAAAAACTGACATACTTTTAACCTACGTCACACTTGTTGATAACGTCAGTATATATATTCGACTCGAGCAACTCATGCCGCCATCTATTGACGAATTTTAAAATTAATAATATTTTATTTTATTATTATTTTTTTTATTGATATTTCATATCAGGAGATCGCAGTTACAAATTCAATTTCGTTTACTTCATATTTTACGTTTCGTTTTTTTTCTCTCCCCCATTTTCCCTTTTTTTCTGCTTTTAAACAAGATTGATGACTTTAAAAGCAATTCAGGTGTTACGTATTTGAATTCCTGTATCTTGACACATTTTGTCAAATTTGATGAATAGTTTGCTTGTAGTTTGTTTCTCTCTAGAATCGTTGTAGATTTGATAAAACAACAAAAAAAAAAAGGAAGCAAATTCTATATTTATAATGCTAAATTTTCAGTTGTACAAGAAAAGTTTCATCCCTTTCAATAAAAATCCTGTTTACAGAGAATAAATTATTCATCTCCGTATACTTGGCGTAACGTAGATAAAAAAAAAAAACCCACGTTCCCTTCTGTAAATTGTGTATAGTAAATACTAATATTTTATATACTTTTATTTATTTCTCCCTTTTAAGTCGTAGAAAACACCGAAATAAAAAGTTGGATTAAACAAAAATAGTATCAAATTTTAATACTTATTTCTTTATATTAATGCCCAACAGTGAACATCTGAGCAAGGAAAATGCTATTACAGTAGAGCGTCGTTTATCCGAATCAATTGGGGACTGGGTTGTTCGGTAAATCGATATTTCGGATAACCGACTATGTACGAAAAAATATAACCTATCCCATGTTGAAATTTTCCTCCGTTGCGTGTCGCCTCGCGTTGAATTTTCGCCGATGTTAAGCCTAACGAACACTATTGTATCGTTAACCCCCTCACGGCATTGTATTAAGTCAGAACCATCGCGGCCCATAAACTTATTTAACACTTCAAATCCTAAATAATTAAACAAAAATATTTATTTATTTATTTATAATTATCATTACTTTACCTCTGCGCGAATACACAATTGTTTTTGAAACGAATATC